TTTATTTCCTATTATAGTAACCGACTGACATTATCATAATTCCGGCCCTGAAAAAATGCGTACAGCTCATAGTAAAAAATTTTTTCATCACCTGACCCCTATATACATATTTCTGGGTCCTATTATCGCCGTTTTCAATAAAATGTGATCAGCTGATCAATATAGTTTCACCAAAAAAAATTTCGATCTTTGTGTAATATTATTTTTTTAACCAATCATGTTTTTTCAATTTTTCTCTGATTTTGTAGTTTATACTGTATATAGAAATTCACGCTCATTACTGCGTCTAATACTACACATTTTTTATATTGCTGACACGTTAAAATGTCACTTAATGAAAATGAAGTATATGAAATACAAGTATATACAAGAAAATATCAAATAGGGACGTGTTTTACCTGTCAAAAGTGTTTATACTGTGAAAAAGACCTTACATTTGAAAATTGTCATTGTAATAAGTATGAAAAACCAACTAAAAATAACCGAACAGCCAAAGTACGTGGCTATAGAGGTTTGTGCTATGACACAAGTAACGCTCAACCATTTTTAAAAGAATTTATGAAGAAAAGTAATCTTAAGTTTGGTTATGAAGTCAACCTGGCAACTTCCTTTTATTGTTCACTTTGTACAGCTTGTAATAGTAAAATAAGCTGAGAAAATAACAAATTTGGAAAGGAAATAAAAAAAGAAAAAGATATCATAAAATCTGAAGTGAATCAAGTAACAGAATTACAGCTTCGTATATCAATTAAAAATGGAAAAGAGATTTTACCATCTATTTTAGTCAACTGGTCTTTTGATGATATAAAATATAATGATCTTTCAACAAAAATTGAACAACTTGTCTCTGAACATATAGGATTAACCTTTAGTAATGAATATTTTTTGGCATATAAGGGTAGTTCAGAAGTTGGAGCAGGAACACTTTTAGATAATGAAATTACTTTTGAAGAATTTCTAAAAGATTATAAACGTTACATCTCTAATAATAAAAAAGTGATGATAATTGTAACTATGAAGGATAAGAAAAAAGATAAGAAAAAACGAGAATATAAAGTAAATTTTGGGTTCAATCTGAATTCTTAATTAATTATATGTTGTATTAATTTATAATACTTATTACAGTCAAAGCTCGTTATAGTGAATCTCGTTATAGTGAACATTAAGTAAAATCACGTTATAGTGACCTATTGATTTTTTTCTTTATAATTAATTTCTCTCGATATAGTGAATTTTCTTAATAAATCTCGTTATAGTGAAAAAAAGGGAAAAAATTACATAGTGGAACAGAAAGTTCACTATAATGAGCTTTGACTGTATATTATAATAAATAGAATGATAATTTGGAATTAGAAGTGACAAGCGAAGAAACAGAAGAAGAAGCACCAAAATCTAAATCAGTTAAAACTAAAAAAAAAGGTACAGCAATGAATAGAGT